TTGTTTTCTAACATATTTTTATTTTTCAATATTTAAATAAAACTCTAGTATTTTGTTATTTCGATTTGCCTTTCTTTAATAAATATTTAAAATGTGAAACATATGTTCTAAAAATTATTATAAATATTTACCATAAACATAAAAATTGTGTACTATTTATTATTTGATGTCAGTAAGACATATTAACATTTAAACTTTAAGAACTTCTCCATTTAAAGAAGTACTAATCAGTAAAATTTTTCTAGTCACGTGTACCTGCATTTCGCAGCAGTGCATGACAGGGGATTGAGTTTGGCGAAGCCAGAACTTGGACCAGGACCCGGACTAGCCATGGGATGTGGACCAAAGTCCAGGATCAGGAGGTCGGGCACTCAGTCAGCGGCGGACACAACTACAAACGTGCAAACAATGAAACGAAATTTTTGCGCTACGGCATCCTTAAGGCGCAATGTAATTTCCTGTGACAAAATACAAAGCTAATCTGCAGCACACAACGTTGTCGAGCACACGGAGTGGAATAAGTTCGCCATCCTGCGAAACTTGACTAAAGGATTTCGGGCGCCTCTAGTCGGTGTGTGTGTGCTTTGCAGGACATTCCATTTCGGTGACTTTTCGATACGTGCAGCGAACTAAAGGATTTTCCTGGTCTTTTTCGGACGGAAATCAGGTCAAGGCCTTAACTTCTCACACTTTCCTTGATCTGCCCTGAGTCGTTTGCCATTTGATGAGCAAGCAACAAAAGCGCTACACAAATAGCCAACGAATTTTCAAACTGGCGAAAATAAATCGAAACTCGAACTTTACTTTTCTCGGGATTTTACTGTCTTCTTTTTTTTATTTTTGCAGGTTTTCAGGGAGGGCTCAGATGGCAGGACATTTGTCGGGGCTTCCGTTTGATTTCTCAAGTGTAAACTGCGAAGGCAGCATTGTGCGTCGTTCAAATATCAATATGCCGAGCCACGAGTCACCTGATCTCCCCTCCTCTGCTTGGCCATAATTGAATGGAGCCAGATGGAGCAGGTGGCAGCCCCCATCCCAATCTCCATCCTGCAGCGATGCATCGAAATCATCGTCAGCAAATAAGGCAAACAACCTGTTTAGGCATTCCGACTGCGCAGCATGGATGGACTGGACACGGAGTCCTGATTCACCCAATTGTTCCCTGATTGACAGGCACATCCAATGCATTCACTCCAAAGGCGGTGAACGCACAGTGGTTTTCGGCTGTGGTTTCCCTGTCCAATTTAATTGGAGCACCCGGGCTCTCGGAATGACCACTAATATGGCTCCGGCGAAATTCAATTTGATAGATCCCCTAGGAAGATGCTCCACATGTTGTGCTTCTGACAGGTCTCCAATCCTTCCATAAGACTGCCTGCAAACTTATCAAAATAATTACTACACCAACACACACAGAAATATATTATAATGGAATCCAATTCCACAAGAGAAGCTACAGTATTATCTATCCCATGCAAACACTAAATAAATGCTTCTTGTACACGGATAGAAGTGAACTTTAAGTACTATTTACTTAATTTCAAGCACAAAGGTCGCAAACATTTAAAAAAAAAATTTGTTTCATTCCATATTTTAAATTTAAATATTTTTGTGTTAGAGTTTAAATCAATAATAATAAGCCGGTGTACAGATTTACGACTAGGCAGCTTTCTAGCCTGAAATGTTATTGTTTAATACGAAATCATTGCAGAGGTAAAAACATGACTTTTAAGTTAATTTTAATTTAATTTAATTTATTGTAAAATTATATTTAAAACGTGGTTTTGATGTTATTTTTCTGTGAAATAGCTTGCTTAAAGTTTTAAAGACACCTCAAAGTTTTTTCTCTAATTTGGCGTTTAACCGTGTGAAACTCGACAAAGCAATGCAGAACTGCTCTCGGCATCTAGATAGCTACGATGATCTATGCATATCCTGGCCCGAAGGAGTGTGTGACGTCTGAAGGACATTTTTTAGGGCCTGGCAACTGGGACTGGTAAATGGGCAATTGACAGGGCCATGCCTACAGCCAACTTGCCGTCTGCGTTTTGTTTGCCTGTCACAACACGAGGCCCTTCTTTCTGTCATTAACGCATGAATTCGAGTGGCCTTCGACTTATTGAGACTCATTGTGGCCAAACGCAGGCGAATTCGAGGAGCCAAATCCATTCAGATAATCTGATTTTTATCCAGATAACACTGGACAAAGCTTTTGTTCAAACAGCCCAAAGGGCATCACACCACAACAAATAAACAAAGCAGCCAAACAAAACTCATTTTGCTCACAGCATATTTCCGATTTGTTAAACTGCTTTACAAATAGTTTTTCAATAACCTTAATGGTTGCAAAAACAAAGGACACACGCTTTGCTAAAAACCAAGTGGCTAAGTGCTAATCTCAGCATAAACATTTTATTGTTTTATTGTGTAACATGCAAAACAGGTGTATTACCAAAATATTGTGGGTAGGTTTTCAACTACTCGTCTGTTAAAACAAAAACTGAAATCACATGTTTTTTAGTTATTGAAAGGCTTAACAGCTGAACTGAAGGCTTGCCGAAATTTACTTCCTTTTTTGTTCAATTAAATGTTAATTTTTATATATTTAATGTTCATTAATTTATTAGTCATTTGATAGTCATAGTCATTTTATTATTAAAAGTTTATTGATATGATTGGCCCTTTTCGAATAGTTTGCAAACCTCATTCTGAAGTGTGAAATGTGTAGTTTTCCATCTTTAATAAGTTGTAAATTGATGTAAACGCGTGATCAACGATTTATTTTAAATATCCAACCATTAAAGAAATGTTTTCAATTTTTTAAACAGTTGTTGAATACCAACATACAGCAGATCCCGCACTACGGCTTATCGCCGGCTCGCTTAGAAGTTCCGGAGAAGTGCAAACTCGTATATCCCGTGACCATTTCAAGTTTTTTTTTCACGGTACGCGGCATTTGGCTCGTTTGTATGGTGGCGCTGTTGCTTCATTATTTTGTTTGTTAACCCACTATCGACCCTGCGCGTGCCCGCCCCGGAGCACCTGGTTGCTCGAAAAAGCAGCTCACCACTTTCCCGCTTTTCCCGCTATTTTCCATTTCTATGCATTCATGCATAATGGCTGGCAAACGTTTACAATGGCAACAGCATGGATTTCCGCACGTTACCATTTGCGGTCCATTTGCGGAAAGCGGTGGGCGGCGGTGGGCGTGGTGTCGGGGTCACCATGGTGCTGTTAGCATGATTGAAAAACGTGCCCCTCTCATTTCCTTTTCCTGTCCACCACCCCAAAGTTCAAATTGTATGGCATTCGCTGTCATTGTCGAAGGGACTTCGACACCCACACCCACACCCACCCCACCGCAGTTGTGTTGCCCTTGTCTCGCTGGCCTTTACAATTACGTAATTTATTTTAACTGTGTCAAATCCACGACGATCGACAGCGATTATGCTGGCAAATTGCAGCCATTCCTCTGCCCAACCGGTCCCAGTTACCAGTTGCCAGTTGCCAGTTCCCAGTTCCCACTTCCCAATCGCAATTTGTAAATGTCGCCGGCATCCGTCTTTGGCGCGGCTGGTGGGTGGAAATCCTTTCCCGAGAGCCTGGAACTCTCTGTCTGGCACTCACTTAACTGCAATTAACCGCAGTGTGCTAATTAATTTGCTCATAATTGATGCGATTATGTGCTGCGAGCCTGCTACAAAACATCCAGCCCGTCAGCCCTCCAGTCCCGTGGGTCGCATCAAAACTTGAAGCCGAAATTGGGCCAAATCCAGCTGCGATTGGCGGGATTGTTGGCGAAGCTGCTGCACTCGTGCTGGTGGCGTTGGTCCGGGTGGAAATCAAGCGAACTAAGTTCCTGCACAATTTATTAAGGACCCGGTCAATTGTGAAAGAGTCACGGGCATCCGCATCCTGGCATGCAGGCGGAAATGAGCCGAAATTGCAATCGGAAGCCGGGCTCTGTTCGCTTTCAGTGGGTCAAGGCGGTCAGCGGTTAGGGATCAGGGGATCAGGAATCGGGGGACAGAGGTCGGTGGTCGATGGTCGGTGGCCGGTGTCCAGCCCCGGGGCCAAGTCCATTTGACTTCATAAAACGTCCCGCTGGGTAACGCCCTGTCACGGATACATGTATTCAGATGCAACAGCAATGCGGCCAAAATTTGTCACACAGCAAGAAATCAATCAAAGCGTGATTTTAATATATTAAAGTGGAATATAAAAATTCCAAATGTTTCTATTTCCTCAGTACGTTATTATAGGAAAACAATTTAAATGAGCCACCCTATTTAAATATGAAAATAATATTTAAATATGTACTTTTAATGTATGTCAGCCATTGTTTTTGAAGTTTCTTATTTTTTTGTCAGCTGAAAGTATAAACAAATTTAGAAAATCGATGTCTTGAAGACAAAAAAGTCTGTAAGTAAGACATATAAGCATCTGCCTAACATTTAAAAAAAAGGTAATTTAAAAGTGTTCTCATTTTGGTTAATGTCGTTAGCTATGTTTAAAGATAACAATGTATAATATATTTAAATGAAATACCGTTTAAACCAATTTTAAAAAAAATCCAAGTATTTTTAGTGTAATGTTAACAACATTTATTTATTCCTAAGCAAATTTATTCCTAAGTATTTTAAAAGCAATTTAATTCAAAAATGATTTAAGGAAAAAAAAATGATTTTACAATGGCTTAGACACCTTTGTAAGCTTTTCTTTATCATTTAAATTTGTTGCAAAATATAGTTTTAAGTGTTTGAATATTTTAGCATAAAATTTTGTTGTGTGCACCGGAGCTGAAACGCAACAAAGAAAACAAAATGGCAGTGCAGTGGATGGCTATCGGGTTCGTTTGTCAGTTAATGTAAGCGCACTTTCGAATAGCATTTCATGGGCGAGGCAGTCGAGTATTTGCCCGGGGGGAATGGATACAATTTGGGGGCAGGGTCCTCCATTTGGGCTGCCCGAATTTTGGGGAAATGGGAGTGGGTACTTACCATTTAGGACATGGACACGCACACTGGCCACATCTGCATTGGAGGGCGCACAGGAGTATTTGCCCGAATCGGCCAGATCTGCATTCTGTATGAGCAGAAATGAGGTTGTCACATCGCCCTTTTCGGTAATTACCGACACGCCGCCCCTTGATGAATCATAATTAATGACCTGCAAATGGAGGAGGAGTAGTGGAACTGTGAGTACATTCGCACAATAATGTAAAAACAATGAGGGTTCAAAACAGCAAATTTCTTGTTGCGACGGCTGTTGTTCCTAATGTCATTTTTGACCCACCTTAAGGTAGGGAAAAATGTGACAAGAGGCACAGGCAGCAATTAGTAAATAACTGGAAATTGTCGCATTATATATCTTTGATGTTTCCTCAGCGCTCATCGTAAAAAAATATACATTTGAATTGCAAAATAATTAAAGGTGGCAACAGCTGCCCTTGACTGACACTCTTGGAAATTGGGATTTTAATTGGAATTTGATGAGTGTGTTCGTGATTAAAGTTAACTCTCGACATCAAAGATCGCGTGAAACGCCATGCAAATCAAGCGGATTTAAGGCTGCTCCTCATTATGGTTATTACTTTCTGGCAGCCATCATCGCAGCCGACTTGACTATCGATTTGTGCAGAATGGCAGGTCCTGTCGAGGAGTGCCTCATACAGCTCTCCCAGCTGAATGCATATTAGGTTGCCCCCACCAGCTGACAAAAACAAATACCGGAATAATTTGCCAATACACCAGGGCCAAAGGGGGCAAAGTTCACGATGGCACAGATAGCTGACAGGGAATTGATATTAACACATAATGCCGCTGACAGAGCAAAGACATTGCCAGCAATGTCGGAAGAAATGCTGAAAACAACAGCGGCGGAAATGAGAGGGCTCACAACCCTTGGCCAAGCGAAACCAAGGACCTCGGGCCAACTGTCTGGCGCATAATTTGCCATCTAATCCCAGCTAATCGACGACATTTGCGATAGTTTGAAGAATGAAAGAAAAGTTAGCGTCACTGGTAATGATGACGATGGCTAAACAGATATAGACATCAAGAAATACAACAGGAAATTGAGTAAAATCAGCCCATTGATGCCTATTACGGAAATTTGTTGATTGCATGATTGCACAATAGAAGTGTTCAACAGAAAGATTAAGATTTTTTTTTGATTTAAATTGAGTTGTTGAATAACTTGATTTCTTAAGTATATTCATATATTTTTCACAATATATATATAAAATGTTTATTGGAGTAGCATTAACTATATGTTCATAAGTAAAAAGCTATCATTATTAATTATTAATTATTATTATTAATAATTAGTTATCTTTTCAAAAAATCACACCACTATTATATGAATTATAATAAACTAGTTTTATATTTGCTTACGAAGTTAATATTTTTAAATAATTATCTAAGCTTCATAAAACAAATAAATAATCAATAAATTGTCTAGATTTGTATTTAATTTAACGACTTATATACCCTCTTAATACTGGATATCAGTAATGAAAACAATGAAAATGACTCAAATTTTGTCGCAGAAACTTTTGGCAAGTGAAAAGTTTGCCTATCAGGCGGCACACGATATCACGGCCATAATATTGCTGACTCCTTGCATAAATTTCATATTTGTATTATAATATCTTTGAACTCGGCACAAATTAGTTAATGAGCCTGATGGTGGGGATGTGGCCGTGGAGTGGAGAGGGGGTTAAATTTCAGCCATTCGGAATAAATGCGAATCTGCAGTTTGTCATTGGATAAATTGAAAAAAAAACCATTGTGCCATTCTGAGTTTAAAAATTCATGGCGTGCCACGTGCAATTTTCATGACAACTGCAGCTGCTCCTGACTTCTTCAATCGTGGGCATCGGATGGGATTGGGATTGGGACTTTGATTGGGTTTGTGTTTGTTTGTGGGGAAATGCCACACAAAAGACACAAAAGGAAATAACAACACGGGCAAACAAAGGCAAAAGCAAATAAAATATTTGTGTAAAATGTAGCTCATTGTAAATGCGCATATATCCAATTTATGTGGCACTCACCAACGCAATAATCGGCCGCATATTTGGAGCATAAAAACCAAACAGACCAGGGGTCATAAAAATTCCGTTGGAAGTACATAAAAGTCGGCCAACGGCTCAGAGCTTGACAGAAATGTAAAAGAGACAGGTGCCACAAAGGAGGAAAGATTGAAATTCCACTTGAATATTGAGTAGGGGCTAAGAAGTTGGCCATAAGCTGCAGAAAAAGGTAAATGTGTGGCAAAAGTGCCAGCAATTTCAACGAATTAGCCGGAGTACATCCGACATATGCCAGCCATGCTGTCAAGGACCTGACCTCAGCTGGGAAAAAAAGGTGAAAATATGCAACACGTTAATTACAATCAGCGAGCGGAAGTGCGCTGCAAAAAGTGCTGCATACATTTCGAGCATGGTGGAAGTGCATCAACTGGATTTATCCATCCATTAAACTAATTAACAGCAAATTTGCATGGATCGTAAATAATCCGTGTGCCGAGCAGGGCGAACAGCACGGAAGGGACTGAACAGGACAGGACAGGACTTTACAAAAGCCTGCAGCAAGGACGCGGTAAGGTTGCTGCGGCCACTCTTCGGAAAACTCACACGCACACACACAGGTGGCAAGGATTTTAATTAGAAAATTCCAGGAATACATTAAAATAAGCCAAGTGGCTGTGCAGGAAGTGAGCAGCAGTTGTTGGCCGGATTTGTGTGCGCTGCGCATTTAACACTGACCTTTTTTTTTGTTGATATTTTGTTTGGCTTTCGCATTGCAATTAGCGTGCAACTGTTGTGGATTTAGCACTCTGCAATTAGCCTGCTTAACTTGGCTGAGAAAACAGGGCTAATTGGCCGAAGCGAAAGGACAACTAAGCAGCGGATGATCTGAAAATGCTCCTCTTTTTTATATTACCTTACTTCACTTACTGTCGATTGTCACCACCGGCGATAATTTAAACATAACCTGTCCGCCATAAAGCCACTGACCCAGTTATCCGTCGCCTGGCATTTGCATTTGCATGTGTGAAGGACGCGGATAACCGGGCGCGTTGATTCACTCATTAAAATAACAACAGCTGACATTTAAATAAGGTTACCGACATGAAGTGTGGAGGTGGGGCCCAAAACCTGATGAGGGTTTCGGAAAAATCAGAAAAGGATGTGGCAGAGAAGTGCCAGTGGTAGAAAGCAAAGGGAGAGGATAACTTTTGCTGACAACCGGTGGCGTATGAGCAACGCAGTTCGCTTGGGGGGATTGAAGTTTTTGTCGAGAGTTCCATTGGCTTGAAAAGCAACATTGGGAATGTTGCGAATGGCACATGTCATTGTTAAGCGAATAAAATATTGCTGATAAGGGCAATTAGGACGGTAAAGAAAAAAGTACATGTTAACAAAACTTCACGATGGCAGTTAATTATATGGAGTTTTGTTTGGTTGGAAATATCTCATCTGGTTTCAAAGTATTTGAGAACTCTTAAAGATATATTTTTAATAATTAAATTTTATTAATTTAAAATTAAAATTTGCACTTGTAATAAACTTTCTTGAGAAACTAAATGATATATTTCAAAACATTTTTAAAATATTTAAAGTGTTAAGTGTTTGTAGCAAAAGAAGTTGAGGATACGATGTTTTATTGTTTGTTATTATTTTTTTTTAATGTTTCCCCTGATCAAAGGTTTATTATATATTCTTTTAAGCTGATTGGCCAAAAATGGATTGTAAAAATTCCATTTCAATAATTTCCGCTCTATCCTCTTAGTAGTTGAGGTGAGGCAACTCCTAGTGGGCTCTTTTCAGAGAATGGGAATATAACAATAAACTTTAATTACCTCCTCGTGATGATACCAAAAGATGTAGGCCGGCGGTTCGGGGCTGAACTTTACAGTGCAAGTGAGATTTATGGTGCTGCCTTTATCAACGTGAAGGTCAGGACCTCCCAGGATGGTGGCCGTTGGCACTGGAGACACCGAAAAAGATAGAGAAAGGCGAGGAAAAGTGAGTGCATGAGAAAAAAAAGAGGACGAAGGATGGGCTCTGTTTGTTGGCTGACACTGTAGAATAATAAAGTACGAGATAAAATGGAATTATTGTCGTATAAAAACCAAGTTCCATCGACATCGCCTTGCCTTGGCCGTGCGTGTTGCTCACTCGTTTGCTGTATGTAATTTATTTGCTCAACAACTTCGTTTTTCTCTCTTTTTTTTTTTTTTGTCATCAGCCGCTCACCGAGTGCCCTTTGTTATTTGCGACGGCAAATGGTGGATTTTTTATGAAGCCCAGCTCTGGAAACCGAATCGGCATCGGCATCGCAATGCCGGTCCTCAGACACCTTCAACTCACCGACAACATTCAGCCGAACAAAATAGCTGCGCACCGGCTGCGTCGATATCTGGCACTCGTACATGCCGGCGTCCCGTTTCTGGGCCCACTTTATCTGCAGGGTCCAGTCCTCCGTGTCCTGGTGGTGGGTCGCCTGGAACCGCTGGTCGGAGGTGTAGGTGTACGAGCCCACCGTCAGTATGTGGATGTCACGGTGCCGGATCCAGGACACCTGCAAAATTACAAAACAATGCCGAAAATTTGTACTCTTGCAAGGACCAAATCAAAGGGAGTGCTCTCGTGTGGCCCAACAATTGGCCATCCATTTAATGGAAAGCCCTAGCTGTTTGTGAGGCAAATCAATGCCAAAAATATCAGTTGTTAAGTTTATATATTTCTAGTTAATTATTTTTCCAACCAATTACCGAAATGGCTTTATTTGCGGCCTGATTTTTTATTAAATAAATTATTTTACAAAATTCTCTTACAAAATAAAGCAGAGCATTTTATAATTACTTCACTTTCAAATAAAATTACATAGGGCATAATTACAAATTCAATGAATGGTTTGATATTTCCGCTTTAATCTTTTATAGTTATACTACCTCTGTTGTCATGCAATTAAAATAGTTTAAAATTTACAATTATGACATATATTTAAAATTGCAATAATATATGTGTGAAATATGTAAAATGTGCCTTTAATACAATGTATTCTGCAGAAATGAATAAAACTTTCGGGCATCCAGGCTTAAACGATTCAAGACTAATTCAATTAGGCGAGTTGCACACAAAAACAGAACATAATTTTGAAACCCGTAAAATCGCGCCGATTGTCTGCACCCTGAGCAACCGGCTGCCCCATTAAAAATGCAGCAATTGAAAACGAATTGCCGACGCAGTGCCATCAAAATCGAATAAAACGCCCAGCTAGAAGGAGATGCTTAAGATGCTAAAGGGTGGGTGATAAAAAAGTTTTGCATCTATTTTTTTAGCTTGGCGTACGTGACGTATGAGCAACGTGTGAGTTTTTGGTCGAGAAACTACAGAGGAAGGAAATCCGGGCTTTACTTCGCCGAATCTCAGCGGAATCACTAGTGACGTTGGATCCACTGCTGATGGTCGTGCTCGAGCTGTTTTGGCTTTGCTTAATTATCAAAAACTTTTTAAGTAGTTTTGCGGTGCACAGAGAGATAAGTTTGTAAGCCGGCACAGGCGGCTTACGTAAACTTATTAAGTCAAATGTAAATGCAAAATTATCGCACTTGACAGCCAGCCGAGTGCTACCCTCATGCATCGCCACACGTATGGCGGTACTTTCTCCCTGTGAAAAGAAAGTGCCACCCAAAACGAAGCGTGCGTGCGTTTAATTATATGCAGTGTTGTTGCATACTTTCGAGGGCCGCCTTCAACAATGGCATTTCCATAGAGTTTTCCGGTATGGATGGTATGGGACTATCTGTGATGGGTTCGCTTTTGGGTTTTGGTGGCTCTGTGCAAAGTGCACTGAGAGTGCATAAAAGTGAGAAAAACATGGCGCTCACACTTTTGACAACTCCCGCACACTCGCAACGACAACGCCGCCATTAAACAAACATTTTACGCAACAAATTAAAGCGTAATTAACAAGTGCACGCTGTGCTGCGTGCGGTTCTGTAATAGAGCCACGCCCCCCGCCCCCAAAACACTCCTCACCAAAAAAGGGGGCGGGTTTCATATTAGCAGCAACGCCACTGCAATATGAACAGCAAATGCAGAGGCAAAAAATAGTATCGCAAATCAATATCAAAAGTGGCCACAAACATGCATATTTAATGCCAAAAGGGCATCTACAACAAAAAATAAAATCTTTGCAATTATAGGTTTTCGTAAAATAAAATTTTAATTATCTAACAAAAAATAAGTTTCATTGAAATAATAGTTTTTTGAGTAAGAGACATTCAAATTTAAATTATATGAAGAAGTTAAGAATTTAAATAAGTAGTTACATAAGAATTTAAATTTTAAGAATTTATTTATTTAACTATATTGATTACAACATATGAGTATGAACTGTTTTAGTAGAATAATACTTATTAATGACTTATTTTCACTTATGTTTTTAAGGGATAATAATATAGAAAATCATGATGCTTTTTTAAATATTTTATGCGATTAAGCCATAGCTTAACAAAATTAAAAAATTATACTCTATTCTGTAATTTGCTAGCCTTATTTTCCTGTGTACGACATCCGGAACTGCAACAACAGCTCGACATTCCGCTTCAAGTTGCAATTCAGGGTGGAGTAGGGTGGTTTAGGGTGGTACTGGATGGTGAAAAGTGGTGTTGGATGGTGCAAAGTGCTGCTGGGTGCTGGGTGGTGCTCTGTGGCGGCAGGGCAACTTTTGGCTCCGTGCAACTCGGACTGTGAGCCAAGTGCTGTTGACGCGTGCGGCAAGAGCAATTTCATGAAATTGTTTAAATAATTTCGCGCTCAAATGCATTTGAGAGTGCTGGAGCGGTGCGGGGAAGTGGCCGTGGCAGGGCCAGGACTCAAAAAGGAGCGCCCACTTGAGGTTGAACAGTTGATGTATGTGTTAGCCGACATGGGTGAGTTTTCTGGGACTGCCACTCGTCTCTCTTTTGTTTGGCAAGAAATTAAAAGTTGCGCCTGCTAACGGCATCCTGCAACGCCATCCGCATCCGCATTCGCATCCGCATCTCCATTTCACTGCCTGCCAGCGGGATCCACTTCCTGGTGGCGCATTTGTGTCAAGTGCTCGCGAGCGTGTTGAAAGTTTGTTGGTTTTCGGCATGGCATTTTCCCTTTGGCCAAAATGAAAATGAGAATTGGCGGGCATATCTATATGCAAATTTTTGGAGGAAAATAAAGCATCCCCTGGGGTAGGACGTGCGTTTCACTCGTTAATCGCCTGCCACTCAAGTCTGCCTAATTATTCATAAACCTATTTGTCTGTCGTATTAAAAAAGAAGTCACCTTTGACATTTATATGCAATTCAGTAAACACATTTTAAAGGAGGCCAACTCCCAGCAGGGCCGTAATTAAATGCTACAAAACGCTTACAAAACACATGAATATATCTGGCAATTTTTTAGCCGTCTGCTCGTGACAGCAGGAAGGACTGAAGATTAAGCTGCAGGAGCAGCAGGTTGCCTGCGGCCGACCTTTGTCTTGTGACCCCGCCAAAAAACAGGGAGGGGAGCAATTAAAGCAGATAAACAAAAGAAAACAATTGCAAAACAAAAACAGAGAAAAAAGGAGGCAAAAAATGAAATTGTTAAATTTGCAGAAGACAACGGAAAACAACTTAGAGCCAACTTGAAAGTCGTCTTACCGCAAAAAACAAACAAAAGGAAAGGGGCTGAGAGATACGAAGGAACTAATTAAAAATTTCGCCGTCATGCTAGGGGAATTACGTTTTGGTCTACGTTTCGGCGACCAGGTTAGGAAATCAGCCAAGAAATCAACGCAAGAGGCGGCCACAAAAAATATAAATTATTCCGCGCATGGAGAATAAACGAAAGTTGGTGCAAACTTTAATGTCGTCACGCACGACAACAAACTTTTCGACACGAGTACGCTGTTAACCTGTATACACTTTAAAAAAACATACAAAGCTATAATAAAAGTAATACTACTTATATAAGTTTTCTACATTTAATAATACTAATACAAATTTATTTAGTTTTTGAACTAAGAATGCAAAATATTTAACTCACAAATACTTTATTTAAAATTACTTATCTTTTTTTATTTCTTATAATTTTGCCAGTTCCAAAAACAAAGTATGAATTCGATAGCGAATTCATTGTTTCAAAAATTTAATTTTTAACAATAAGTTTACTTTTGAAAATTGTTTTTTCTGCTACCATATATTTCAGGACTATTTCAAATAGTCTGACTAAATCAAAGCTAATTATCTCCCATAAAAACCCTTACCAGTAACTTTTTTATTCGATTAGAAGTTTATCAAATTTATACATACATTCAAATTAATTTCTTTAAAATAAAAATACCCAAACCACATTGTTTTAAAGCAGTTTCAAAATTGAAACTATTTTAAACTCAAAGCTTTTTTCCCCTTTTTGGCACTAATCTTTTTTCCGAAGTGCACCATCTTTGAGCCGAAACTCACCGTTTTGTTGGCCAAATTGCGCACACGGCAGCTGAGATAGGCGGACTTGCCCATGAGGGCGGTGACATTGCGCGGCGTCGAGGGATCGAAGTAGGGTTCCATCCATTTGGGATGCGTGTAGGCGGCGGTGGGTGCGGTGGGCAGGAGCAGGGCGGCCTGGCCGGGAGTCGGAGTGGTTGTCAGCAGGTCGTCCACGTCCAGCGAATTGTAGCCCTCGATGGGTCCCTGCACACCGCCGTTAGTCATGTCTGAAAAAAGGGGGGAAAAACAGCGGTGAGAAGTGAATATCGGTGTGAAAAAGTCAAAAGCTGGAAATAGACACAAATGCACAGGCACCTAACAGCCCATGCCACATGCATATGTATGCAAATGTGAACCTTTTATCTTTGTGCGGTTCACCACGAAAATATTAGAAACCCAAAGTGCAGCTGCCTGCAAGAAATGTGCAGCCGCAGCTCCGAAAATGTCATTTACATTCATTCAGTCACTCGGGTCCTCCCCAAAAACCCTTACATGCTGAGTAACACTCTTCGAATGAAGTTGTCATGGGGTTACGGGAAAAAGGGTCAGGGGTCACGGCTTGGGGGATTCGGGTTCGAGCAACGCCCAAACATGCAACTTTGCTCATTAAAAGTGCTCTGTTGCTGTTGTTGAGCTCTGTGGTCGAAAGGTGAGTCCAAGTGGCCCCGGCCAATGGTATTAAGCCTGTGAGCCTTTACTCTTAATTTGAATGCTGGAGCCTGGGCAAATGCATTTTGAAATCCCCAGACAGCGTCAAAGCCAATTTATTATTAGAAGTGCACTTTACTACTAAACTACTTTATGTTTGATTTATTATCAAGAAATCAGCTATATTGATCATCCCATCAACAATAAAAATATATATTTTTGTGTATTTTGTTGCCAAAACTTGAAGCACTGTGCACTGCAACTGTTGTCAGTGGCTACTGCTCTTCATTTCGAGCTATGGAAAAGGGTTAGGGGGGCAAGACAAAAGGGGAAAGGAGAAAGGAGAAAGGGGCAACCTTCAAGCGAGTGAAGTGTTTGCGGTTGGCAAGTACAAGTGCACACACACCAACACACACACATTGCAATGTTGCAAGCGGAATTGTGTCACTGCTCACACATACGAACATGAACACACACAGTGTTGGCAACCGCAAGTCTCCTTTTCTTTTTTTGCGGCCAACCCTTTTCACTGTCGGGCTCATGGTTATGCAAAATATTTGCACTCAAATCATATTTCAAGGATTAAAACTTGCATTCTTTCGAAAACGGTTTTTCCACATGCACGCGCCCAACGCACACACAAATAAACACACTGGAAATAGTTTTCTGCAAAAGCAACTCTAAAATGTTTATCAAAATAGCTTATGATAAGTTAAAAAAAAGATTATGTTATGAGCATTTTTATTTGCATCTAAATGAATTTTTTTTCTTATTATGCATATATTATTTCGATTTAAATTGAATATTTGGCCTTATTTACTTTGGTTAAAAAATGCTTTACTTATTCTGTCCCTCTTTTTGTGAAAGAACTACCCATTATTTCTCCCAGTGTTCGTTAACGTACAAATGCTTACCCACAACAGCGGCTTCATTAAACAAAAGGCAGCTGGGAAAATCAACCCGCCCCATAAAGTGACGCGCTTTTCCAAGCATAAAGGGGGCGTGGCAAGCTCAATATGCTTAATGTGAATGAATTTGAGTGAATGTGACATTTAATTCATGCTACAACACTGCAATTGGCATCTGCTGCACCACAGTCACCACTTATCCAGCTGGCAAATGCTCCTCCTGTCTGTCTGTCTGTCTGACTGGTTGCATCCTGGCATCCAGAATTCTGCATCCTTTGACTCACAGAACATGAACATTTGAAGCCGTTTAGCTTAGTGGTCTATTAACTGCACTCATTTTAATTTTGCTCTTAGTTCCTGAGTGCAGCTTTAAGACATACAAATTGCGGTACTCCTCGTAAACAGCTTTTGTGGGAGTGAAAATGGGAATATCCCGTATTTAAGGACAATCGAGTGAGTTCCTAAGATCCTTGAGGATACGAAAACAATAGCTAAGACTGCCTTGTGGCAGGCTTATGCAATTATATTCAGAATTTACTCTGTAAACTTGTTTATTGTTTGAAGCAATTAATTGTTATTCTATTGTAGTTGCAATTATTACATTTTCGGTTAAATTTAAGTTTTGGGCTATACACGCTAGATAATTTCCAATTTATGACATCATTTAATATTTAACTTTCATATGAATGTTGTTTCTGGACAACACCTTTTGAGTCACCAGAGTTATTTCAAATGATGTGTATTTATTAAAAGGAAAATCATTTTATTGTTTGAAAAACTATTTATTTTGTAAACTTTCAAAATCGTAAAGTATAATAAGAATTGGAATAGCACCAAATAATACCATCATTTTGCAAACCTGTTAGTACTATCAATTTCCTCTGATTTAAGATTCGTAACCTTTAAGAACCGGTAAATTGGAATTCAATTGCCACCGCTGAATTTTCCTCATTTCAGGGCGATGGGAAAGCGGCATGTGTGCATGTTGGGTGCAAGAGTGGTGCGAGTTTTCCCACTTTTTCTCCCCATGTGCGTGTAACAGAGGTTGGCTTAATCATTACGCGGGCTAGGCCATTCCACCATTTCACCAGTCGACCTACCACCTACCAGCTCCCAACACCCACCACCTATCACCCATCATCCACTTCCCAACCCACCCACTTCACCCACTCTCACAATGACTTTGCATATTTGCCCTTAATTTTCGACAACGTTGACGAGCCGCGTGGAGCAATTAAGAAAACTTTTGCAATTTTCACGCTTTTGTTTCGGCATTTTTTTTTGTTTTTGGCCCCCTTTTCACTTTTTGGCAGAGGCACGAGGAATATGGAAAAAGGGCCGCGGGTCCTGAATGTCGAAATGTTGAAATGATGCGTAATGTGCAACACTTTGAACCGCTGCCTCAATGAATTTAGCTGATAAAATCCCTCTGCCATCCCCACCCATAATTGCCAGCTCATGTTGGGGCTTTAATTTCGGAAGAAGGGGATCCCGACGCACTTAATTGTGTTTAATGGCATTGAATTTCATAGTAAATATCGTTACATTTCGTTGCCTTCGCAGTAATTAAAAATCAACATTGGCTGGGAATCGAGTTACATGGAATCCTGCTTTTCTGTTTGAGTCCACACTTCTTGGCATTTCCAATTCTTATTGTTCCTGGTGATGGTAGTAGGAACTCGCGTATATTGTTTTTGTTATATTTTGTGTGCCACGAATGGAACCAAAATTAATCGTGTTTAGCCTAAGATAAATATAAATATATTGTCGCATTTTGAAATATAAAAAGAGAAAACCCTATAGTAAAAAGAAACATTAAATTATTTTTCAAAATATAAACTTACTTAATAATAATGAAATGTAATTGAATTGTAAATAATGCAATAAGCAACACATAGTATTTGGTGTTTTTGATATTTTGATACGTGGAAAAAGGATTGTTATTTAAGATCTGATATATTTTTTTTTTTTTGAGAATGATTATCAGGTATCCCCAAGTCGAGGACCCACTTCCACGGCCTTGCTCCTCGTCTTTCTGTCTATTAACTGCTTTATCGCACCACTCATTTGAGATGACGAGGGCAATTGGTCGGGTCTTGAACACGGCTTCTTGAGTAATGATGCCTTTTGACATTGCCTAAGCGGTTTAATGCGTGGAATCGTGAGTTGGCTGGAAATCAAATGGGCATTGAGATGTCTGGCCCTTGAATATGCACGCGGCCAGCACTCAGCCAATCAGCAGCTCAACCCCGAACCGACGAACCACCGAAGAACCACTCCCCGCAGCATCCAGTCACTCATTTATTTATGTTGAGCACGGTGCATTGGGAGGCTTTTGTGGCCGCCTTCGCTCGTTGCTCCCTTTGGCCATCATCGCCTGCGGCTGGGATGTCTTAATTAAGCTTAAATGATGCTGCAAAATTTATTTCATCTCGCACCAAGAGCAATTTCGCCAACTGGGGTATATGCTGGAGCATCTTCTATATATACGCCCGCCATGCATATAAATTATCCACGCAAATTACAAGGCTCGAAAATTGAAATTGTGTATGTGGATGGGCGGTGGGCGGTGGGCGGTGTGAGAAATACTGTGGGCGTGGGCATCCCCTTGAAAAGGCTGTCATATTTGGGCCGCTTCTTTGCTTCACACATAATAATTTTTAATGCTGTTCATTAATTAGCGTCAATCGAGAGCAGCTTAATTGCTCGCATGATTACCCTCGAGAAAGTGAAGGAAAAATGGAGCCAACAAATTGGAAACACAATGAAAAGCTGCTCCACGACTTTCCACCCGAGTTGATCATATTCTCCGAAAGAGTTGACCCCATAAATCGGATATAAGTGATTAACGAGTACATAAATTGCTCGTCATAGTGGAAGTTTTTTTTGTCAAGAATTGTCAAATATTTTCCACTTCTTAATTCTGTAGTTAAAGCAAATTAAATTCTCAAAATAATAATATTATTGTGTTCATAAGTTATATCAATATTACATAAAATTTAACTCTTATGCATTATTTATAATAATTATAATTAATAATTACAAAGAGAAAAAAATATGCACAGAACACGTATTTTCCCAGATTTCTTTTCGTATAAAATAAAAGTTCCACATCTTAAATGAAAATAGTTTCTTAAAATATTAGACGCTATCGCCAAACCAGCTAACTTTTTTACATGGCCCGCAAAAGTAGGCTATGAAAAATAAATCTGCCCACTCTGAAAAGGAAATAGTTTGTGTATGAGGAATTTGTTGGTTCCACTTAATTTGTTTCGGGATACCGCTGTACACACACTCACTCACACACCACACACACACACACTGGGTTATAATCAAGACACATTTCCCGGCTGTCTGAGGCAATTTAAGGGCTTAGCATCCTGTTTGCTGCCTTTGTCTCTTGTTATCTTCAACCTTGATTGACAACATTTTTGTGCAGCGTCCTGGTCGTTGTTGTTTTCGTTGTTGTTGCTCCGGCTTGTTTGTCTTTGCATAGCCACTTCGTATGACAAAACATGCGATACGACACGACAACAAGAACAGGCCACAACTCACACAGGAGCAGCGTATACATATATACACACTTGGCTTACAGACAAGCATAATTCTTGTTATGAAATATTCGTAAAATTCATACAAAGTATAAGCAAATGGCATGTGAGTAAGTTAAA